TGGGGGGCTTGTGCCCTTTCCGTACTGCCCCCTTTCCCCGGGTGTGGGGGGGTGGGCAGGGGTTTGGTGCACTGATCCATGCGCATAACGCGGGCCATTGCAGGGGGGGGCAGGGGGGGTGTGAATCATGTCCTCGTGCTTCTGAGCTGCTCTGTAAATAAAGCCGCGTTGTGTTTTGGGGGCTGCTCTTGGCTTCCTCCTTTCTTCCCCCCCCCATCCTGGACCCCCCCATCCAGGGGCGCCAACCCCCAGTGACTCCCCTGTGCAGGGCACCCTTCCCTGGGGCTGTGCACGGAGGGCCAGGGTAGGAGTTTGTGGGGCACAGGGTTGTGTTTGTGGTGCACAGAGTGGTGCCCTTTGCCCCAGCGCCACGGGGCCACAACCAGAGGCCAGAAGAAATCATCGCACTGCTCGTTGTGGCCGACATCTGCCCATATGTGCTCTGTGGCAGGGACAGCCTACACTCCCTCACCACCCCCACAGCCGCTCCCTGGGCTGGAGGGGCCCGGTCCAGTGCACCCCAGGAGTTTCTGCATGGGATTGGGCGCCGCTGGCCCGGGAAGCACCTGCCCCACTTCTCTGCCTCCAGAGATGCCCTCAGGATCTCCTGGGCGCGCAGCAGATCTGCTGTGTTTGGCGACATCTGCTTCTAGCACTAGCCTCATGCTGGCGGGGCCCAGCGCCTGCCCTTCCTCTGGTCCCACTCCATGCCCTTGCTCTAGGGAGGGTGGGGGGCTGTGCCTGCTGAGCTGGAGGCTTCCCCTGCCCTCTCTGCCAGGTGCTGCTTCTCCAGCACAGGCTGTGCCTGGGCAAGTGCTGGGGTCTGGGCCAGACTGGAGCAGGGGTCAAGGGGCAGCGACTGCAGGGCTGTGACTGCCGTGAGCAAACAGCCCCCTCCCCTTGCAGTGGACAGGGGACACTGGGCAGGAGCAGCACAGTGGCCCTGGAGTTTGAACCTTAGGTCCTGGGAAAGCCCATGCTAGCCAGACTCGGCACTGCCTGGTCTGCAAGAATGATGCGGCGGCTTTGCGGCGTATGCTGTGTAAACCCCCTCCCCGCTTAATCCCCCATAGCTGGCTGCAGCCAGCAAGGCAGACAGGGCCTGAGCCCTGGTCCCCCCCGCCCCATGCTGGGCAGGCACACAAGAGCAGAACTGCCACGTCCTGGGTCGGACCCTGGGTCCGTCTTGCCCAGTCTCCGGTGGCAGAGAGTGGAGGCTGGAAGGGATGGCAATGGGGTCTCCCCTTCGTTCCTCTCTCCCTTGAAGCCTCCAGCATTGAAGGCCCAGGCAGGTCTGATTCAGAGGCTCCCTTGCTCCAGAGCTCCCGATGCCCCTTTCCTCCGAGACCATGTCCGATCCCTTGGCGAATCAGCCTAAGTGATCCTCTTCCACCGTGGCTGGCGGCCACGAGCCCCCATGCTTTAATGACCCACTCGGGAGAAAGAACTGCCTTTTGTGAGGTCTGCTCAGTCCCTGCTTGAGCAAGCCCCTCGCTCGCTCCTGTCTCATGAGCAACCTCGCAACTCCCCGGGAACACCGCTGGGATTCTGTAAGCCCGTCTCCAGTTCCCCGTCGAGCAGAAGGGCCAGGTCCCTTAGTCTCTCCTCGTAGGGACCCCCCCTGCCCCACAGCTATACCGTTAGGAACCCAGGTGTCCCGAGTGAAATCACTCCTCCACGTGCCCTGTGGGAGCGGGACTGCTATCAACAGCACAGCTTGGCCAGAGGCACTTGGGCACCATTGGGCCCTTGTCCTGAGTTGTCATGACCCCTCCCCAGAACTGCTGCACCCGCTGGAGCTGCACCCACCTCTGGGGGGGGATCTCTGGTACAGCAGAGTAGAACAGCCCACAGAGACAGCCCCCGCGCCCGGAGGAAAGCACAGTGCACACAGCTGGCTCCATGGCATTGATGCCAGCCCCCACCCGCCCTGGAATTTCTACCTGTCCGCCGGGCACCCGCTCCTGTCTTGTGGCAGCTTGAGCAAGCCCAAAGCATGCTGGGAGCATCCCAGCCTCACCCATGGGATGCCATGGGCATGGCCCAAACCTGCCACCAGTGCAGCCTTGGCTCCGGAGTCAGTGCCATGGGCCAAAGAGCTGAATTGCAGGGGTGGGGGGGATGGAGCCAACAGGACCAGAGGTCAGGACACAGGCTGTTCCCTGCCCAGGTAATGATTGATCTCGGTAGACAGGCAGGAACAGGGTGTGTGCTTGGCGCAAGGATTTGCTTGTGATCGGCTGATCCGGCTGGAGGTGGAGAAGGAAGGGAGCCTGCAGACGCCCACTGACCTGCTTGAGTGAGTGGACCAGCACGCATGGAGCCAGCGCCAGGGAGCACCGCGATGCCCAGGCGGAGGCCAGGCCAAGAGCTGGAGCAAGAGGAAGAGGCCGAGCTCTGGGTGCCCAACAGTGAGCAGTAACCTGGAGCCCACGGTGGGAGGGCACCGGTGGGAGGCGATGGCATTTCAAATGCTGAGGCCCTGCACCCAGGGGCAGAGGCCTGGAGTGCAGCAGAGAGCGCCTGGGCAGGTGCCCAGCATGGAGCAGCCCCTGGCATGTCACAGGCAGCAGCGATTTGTGCACTGACCACGGGGCTGCTGGTAGGCACAGAGGGCAGGGGCGGCATGGGCACTGTAGAAGGCGATCCCAGCCCCCTTGGGTGGGAGCCCAGCTGACCCCCCCACCTCTACCCACATGGCGGGCTGCCAAGACCAGAGCAGGTAGCTCCCTGGGGAGGGCCAGTGCCCGTGGCCCGTAGCCCGTGGCCCACAGCTGCTCTCCCATGGTACTAGATGGCCCATGCCTTGCACAGCCAGGGTGGGGGTGACTGTGGGACTGCCAGCCCAGCACTCCCCCCTGAGGCTGTGGGTTGCCATGGCATTGGGGCTGCCTGGGGGCACCCCAAGGCTTCGCTGACCTGCTGCCCCTGCTCTAGGTAGCTCTGCCCACCTGGATAGCATCCCCAGCCTCGCCCAGTGCCGGAGACGCATGGAGGTAACACAGCAAGGGAAAGGGCAGTCCAGGCCTCCCCGGGCAGGGGTCGGGGGTTGCTTGCAGGCACCAGGGACCTGGAGGAGGAGGGGAGGATGGGTTAGGGGGCCAAGACAGGGGGGCAGGAGGGAGGCAGTAGGAGGATGGGGCAGGGGGGTGCAGGGATGCCCAGGTGCATGCTGGGAAACTCCCTGAGGGGCATAACCTGCACTGGCCTGGCAGGCAGTGCAATCCCCAGCGCAGGACGGGGCCAAGAAAGAGGGGCTGCAGCCAGACCCCCCACCCCCGAAGACGGGGCAGCTGGAGAATGAGGCCAGGTGAGAGCTGGGGGGGAGCCCAACCCCCCAAAAGTGAGCACACGGGGCTGGAGGCCAAGCCCATCCCTCCACCCTGACCCTCCTAGACCCGTCTCCCTCAGCACCGGAGCTGAGCTGCCCGGCAGGATGCCTGGCTCCTTCCCCACCCCTGCCTCTGTCTGCCTGGGCAGCCCCAGGCAAGTCACCCTGCCGCTCTGCGCCTCCGTTTCCCCTCTCCCCCTGCTGCCTCTCGCAGTATCTGTGCAGGTCCTGCATGGTGGCCTAGATCGCCCTGCTCCCAACCAGCCCTGGAGAACCACCCCCCTTGCAGTAGAGGGCATAGGACACACCTATGTCGCAGTTGCATCCTGCGTGCGAAATAGTGGGAGGGGTGGCTGAGACCCTTCCCTGGAAATAACAGCCCCGCTTGGGATCCACGCAGGGGGAGAGGCTCCTGGCTGGAGAAGCAGAAAGTCTTCATCCCCCGGCAGTCACCGTTGGAGTGAGTCCAGCAGGGGTTAGCAGAGGGGGGAATCCCTGCTGGGGGGGGGCCGGGGCACGTGGGCCCAGAGGTGCCCTAGGGCAGCCTGTTGTGGAAGGCAGGTGGGGACTCCTGGGTGCTTTCCCAGGCTCTGCCTGGGAGCTGGGCCTCCCTGGCCCTGGGATGGAAGTGGGGCCTGGTGGTTAGAGCTAGAGGGAAGGCTGAGAGCCAGGACTCCTGCGTTCCACAGCCAGGCCTGCAACGTGCCTGCAAACCCCTCCGTGCCTCAGTTTCCTCTCGTGTGAAATGGGAGGAGGGGGAGCGGTGTTGCCCCATGTCCCAGCAGCTGCAGCAGGGAAGGTCTGAGCTCCACATGGAGGGGCCTGCGGCAGGCGGTTGACAACCTGGGGCCCCCTCCCCGTTGCCCTGCAGCGAGCTGCTGGCGGTGGAGCATTTCCGGAGCCTCTACCACCTGTGCATCGCCGCCGTCTGCATCGCCATCCTGGGCGCCGCCGCCACGGATCTCGCCAACCACCGGTGGTAGGATGGAGCGTGGGGGTACTGCCTCACGTCTCCAAGCGGCTGGGATGGGTCTGTGGGGTGGCACGTGCAGCAGGGAGATATGGCTTTCTAGGGAGGGGTGGTTTTTCTGCCCTCTGTCCCCAGGCTGCAGAGCAGAGCCGGGAGGGGTGGTTTTCCCAGGCCTCTGGGCTTTGCCAGCTGCTGCATGGGCCTAGAGGGAATTTTTCCTCCTCTTATTGCTCCAGGGGTCAGCGGGTTTTTGGGTGCTGGGATTCAAACCCAGAGGCTCCTGGCTGAAGGGTCTTGCCCCCCAAATCGGGGTCTGCCCGTTGCTGCCTTGGTTAAAGCCCACGTCAGGTCTGTACAGACTAGTGCAGGGAGCTGCCTTCTTCTCTGCCGGGGATCTCCTAAGTGCACCTAACACTCCTTGCAGTGGCGGGCAGGTCTGGGGGCTCCTGGTGTCTTGGGCAACGGCCTGGTCATTATGCAACCGGGCTGACGGAGGAGCTTGCGGAGCAGGCAGGCAAGGAGTGGCCTGGGCGGGACCTGGCAGCACCGATCCTACCCCAGGCTGGGATGACCTCTCAGCACCCTTCCAGCCTGGATCTCCACCCTCCGCAATCCCAGCTTTGGGCACTCGGAGGGGGAGCCCCACCCTGATCCAGCACAGCCTGTGCTGAAGCCCTGCCCTGGCTAATCAGAAGCGTATGTGCCTGCGGAGGAGAAGGTCCCTGCCTCAGCCAGCACAGCCCTACCGGGCCCTGAGGTGGTGCTATAGGGCCCAAAGAGTCTGTAGGTCCACACACGCCCCCAGGAGGTGCTATAGGGTCCAGAGAGTCTGTAGAGTCACACGCAGGCCCAGGAGGTGCTATAGGGCCCAGAGAGTCTGTAGGGCCATGCACACCCCCAGGAGGTGCTATAGGGTCCAGAGAGTCTGTAGAGTCACACGCAGGCCCAGGAGGTGCTATAGGGCCCAGAGAGTCTGTAGGGCCATGCACACCCCCAGGAGGTGCTATAGGGTCCAGAGAGTCTGTAGAGCCACACGCAGGCCCAGGGTGGTGCTATAGGGCCCAGAGTCTGTAGGGACATGCACACCTCCAGGAGGTGCTATAGGGTCCAGAGACTCTGTAGGGTCATACACACCCCAAAGAGGTGCTATAGGGTGCAGAGTGTCCACAGGGCCATGCACACCCCCAAGCCAGCTCTATAGGGTCCAGAGAGTCTATAGGGCCCTACCCAGCCCCAGGGCAGTCTATAAGGGCCAGAGAGGTCACTGGTGCTGCGCTGAGGTCACTGTCCCCTTCCGCCCTGCAGCTGCCTGAAGGAGGACTTGGAGTTCATCATCGCCAACTCCCACGGCATGGGCGCAGCACTGGGGATCTGGCTGATCATGTGCATCTACACCCTGCTGGCCCCCTATGCGACTCTGGCGCTCTGGGCCCACGCATCCCGCACCACACGCCACCCATGGCTTCTGGTGGCCAGCGTGGTGGGGGCGCTGCTGGGGGGCCACACCGCTGTGCTGGGCATCTTCCCCATCTACACCATGGTCCACCAGCAGATGCAATACATCCCCAAGGTCATCCTCATGACAGAGCAGGTGTGCAGAGGGTGGTGCCAGGACAGGGTGGGCAGGGCATAAGGCAGGTGGCTTAGAGCAAAAACCCTACCCCCATTTCCTGCCTGCTGCACCCTGGGCCAGCACCACAGGGTGCAGCAGCTGCCCAGATGTGGGGACAGTCCCCGCAGGCCCCAGGGCAGAGGAAAGAGGCGCCCATGCCCCCTGCAGCCATGGCTGGGGCAGTAGCTCCCAACACCGCAACCCAGCCCTTCATGCCCTCCACTCCCCAGCTGCGGCTCCTGATGAAAAGCCACTCATTCCTGCGGGAGACAGTGCCCAATCTCCGTGCCCAGACGACCGCTGGTGAGTGCCACCCCCTGCACCAGGGTACCCCTGCAGCCACCCCAAGCTCCCAATTGCTTCTCTCCGCCAGGGAAGGTGAAGCTGCCGGCCTTGTCCACCTACCTGTACTTTCTGTGCTGCCCCACACTGCTGTACAGGGAGACCTACCCCAGGTGAGCCTGAGGGCACCAGGGCTGCCAGCTGGGGGCCGTGGGGACAGACGGAGGGGCATTCAGGGGACTGAGTCCTGGGGAGGACTCCAGCCTGCCCTGGGTGTCCTGGGCACTGACCAGCCCTCCTGTCCTGCTAGGACCTCTGTCATCCGCTGGAGAGTCGTGGTGGAGAACTGTGCCAAGGTGAGAGCAGCTGGGCCCTGCTGGCACGGCCCGTGCCCACCCGTCCTTGTGGCCTTGGTGCCTATGCCACGCAGCATGACCCATACCCACCCATCTGTGACCTGGGTGTCCATGGGTCCTTCCCGGCATGACCCACACCCACCCATCCCTGCGGCCTGGGTGCCTATGGGTTCCTGCTGGCACGGCCCGCACTCACTTGTCCTTGCAGCCTGGGTGCCCGTGGGTTGCCACGGGGCCAGGGCAAGGGGAAGCATCACACCTGTCTGTGCCCTGCAGTTCCTGGCCTTCGCCTTCTTACTGGCACTCATCATGCGCCGTTTGTCCAACCCGGTGTACATCCACCTGAGCCTGCAGCCCTTCCGCCTCGAGACATTTGTGCCAGCTATGTGCAACACCATCCTGCCTGGTGCGCAGGGCCCGCTCGCTCCCCTGGGCTGGGGCACTGGGTAGTGTGGAGCGGCTGCTGCAGGGGATGGCAGGGCCCCAGTGAGGGTGACCGGGTGGTGACATGAGCCCGGAGGTGGGGGTGGCAGGCAGTGCCAGGGGCCCCCAGGGGTCTGATGTGCCCGCTGTGCCCCCCTGCAGGCACTGTGATGCTGTTGATCTCATTCTATGGCATCCTGCACTGCTGGTTCAACGCCTTCGCTGAGGTGCTGCGCTTTGCCGACAGGGGCTTCTACCAGGTGAGGGCAGGCGGGGGGTGGAAAGCGGGGCTGGGTTGCCTGGCAGTGCCCGCAGAGCCCTCCCGGTGCTGCAAGGGGGGCAGGCACCCATGCCAGAGGCCTGGCCACGGGGGCCGAGGAGCAGGGGGTGCAGGCAGGCGGTCCCCAGGTCACGCGCATCTCCCCCCAGGACTGGTGGAACGCCACATCCTTCGCCACCTACTACCGCAAGTGGAACAGCGTGGTCCACGACTGGCTCTACCTCTACATCTACCAGGACCTGTTCTGGGTACGTGGACCGGGCTGGCAGTGGGGCAGGGAAGGTGGGCACTGCCCAGAGCCCAGCCCTTAGCTCGGGTCCGTTTGCATTCACGGCCACAGCCTGGCTGCCCAGGGGACTCTGCCCGCAGCCATGTCCTGGCTCCAGCTGGGGCCCAGCCCAGCTGTTGTGGGCCCACTCTGCTTGGAGTTGTCCCCAGGCCTTGGCAGCTGACTCTGGCTCTGAGCACCCTTGCTTTGCAGCTCTTCGGAAAGAAGTGGCGGGTGGGCGCCATGCTGGCCACCTTCCTCCTGTCTGCCATTGCCCATGAGTACATAGTTGGTTTCGGCTTGGGCATCTTCTACCCCATCCTCTTCTGCAACTACACCATCTTCGGAGGTGAGCACACCACGGTCCCCCGCACCGCAACCAGGCTGAGCCCCATGCCCTGAATCCCCACGCCCCCTGGGTCCTGCTGGGCTCAGCCCCAAGTCCCTCGTGTCCCCAGCTCTGCTACTGTGGCCTGAGGGGAAGGACCCCCTGAGCCCTGAGTTTCTCCCTACCATGCTGCCCCTTGCCCCCAGTCTCAGGCAGGCAGTGGTGCCTTGGCCACGTCTCCTGCCCATGGCTGGCAAGGGTGATGGCCTTTTAAGTCCACCTGCATCGTCCTGAATTGCATCCGAAACACGGGGCTGGGGAGGCATCGGGGGCCAGCAGGGATGAGGGTGCTCTGTGGGGACCTCACCACCCCCAGCCCCGCTCTCCTGTCTCCTCAGTGCTCTTCAACTTCGTGCTGAACGACAAGCGCAGGCGCCCGGCATGGAACGTGGCTGTGTGGGCCTTGCTCTTCGTGGGGCAGGGCCTGCTGGTCGCGCTGTACAGCCTGGAGTACTATGCCCGTGTCCACTGCCCGCTCCAGGTGAGCCCAGGGCTATTCGTGGCAGCCACAGGCCACGCTG